ATTATTTAAATCATCATAATGCACTTTAGGTGTTGTTTTTCAATAATTATAACATTTTATTTACAAAAACAAACAATTAAACAAGTAAAGTTCCTAGTACTTTTTTAACGTATGGTACTGCGTAAAACATTTTCCTCTACGAAGAGGGACCAAACAAAATTTACATTATCTAGATATGCTCCTTTTTCCATGGGCATGAAAAACGAGAACACTCGTGAGTGGTCTGTAACAGATGGCGCGAGGATCACGAGAATTCTCGCTTCGTATTACAATGTTTTACAAAGTATTATACTTTAAAAAGATGTTAGCTTGTAAGAACATGTAATAAGTAACTTCAAAATGCAATGGATATTTTATTTTAAAGCGTGCCTTTAACATTTATGTAAAATGTTTTTTCGTTCAATAGAAACTTATCTGGCCATTGGGTAAAGCTAGCAATAAAACTACTGGTCCACAATGTGTTAAGATTGCAATTTCCAGACTATAAGAAAGTGAAATGGGAGGGAACAGTAGGTCTTTTCATGAACTTGAACTAACAATAATGTGGGTGTGTATATGCCATATTTAATATAACACTGATACTGTTAATATTAAATTTAGTAATAAAACAGCACTAATATTTAATATACTAATTATTAGCATTGTCTTATTAAAAATTAGTATTAGGTTGTGTTATACTAAAGACAGTATCTGCTTCTATCATTAACATAAAATGCTTATGTTCTTGAGTGGGTTGGATTTGAACTTTTCTTCTAGCTATATTTCTATTTTATCAATCGTTATAACCAACTAAAATCATATATATATTGAAATCAAATATTTAACAATGATTTTCAGAAATTTAGGATGGAATAGGAATATCTGTTTTTTGAGCCCTGAAATTTCTGAGAAAATTATTTTCATATTTGGGAATTTTTCTTTCAATGCACTTTTTTCCATGTTAAGTGCACAGAGAGTGTGCACTTCTTCACTACGACTGTTTTAGATGTGTATGTGGAAAGCTTATAAACTTGCTAGACCATACACAAAGCTGCAGTACAGAAATATGTTATAGCTTCTAAGGAGTCAAGAAATCTCCAGTCAGTGCTGGGCATGTAAGCACCCAGTCTCCGAACTTGGATAAACTTGGATATCGTAACCAACATCTTTAACCCTTTGCGGTCGTATTAAATTTGGACATGGGTGTCGTACTGGTCGGAATTAATTTCCATTGAAAGAGCAGTGATACATAACATGCAAGATTATGAAGGATAAACAAGATTTATTAATTCTTTTTTGGAACTACGCTACTAGTAGTAGAATCACTACAAACGTTATCACTTTCTACGTCAGAGTCAGTAGTCAAGGTGCCAAAACAAAATTCTTCATTGTTACTTTCAGATTCGCAGTATACTTCTTTCGGTAACTTTCTTTTTGCCGGGGCAATGCTTTGGTTCGTGACAAGATCCCTTAGACACTTAAGAGCTTTCAGAGAAATTATGAACTGATACATGAATGACTAGAATTAAGATTCGTACGGTTCCTTGCTGTGGTGGCTGAGAGCAGACATACGACCGGAACGGTAAAAAAGCTTTGGTGGCTGAGAGTAGACAAACAACCGCAAAGGGTTAACAGAAGTTGAACCTGTTTCCCTGCATTTATTGGCCATTTGGATTTTAGCTATTGATTTCCTTTGTTCAAGTTTCTCTTTATTTTGTATTCTTTTGAAATATCTTCTCAGCTGCTTAGATTTTTCACAGAAAAGGTTACAGATTTGAATTTTTAAAGTCAGGTTTCTTTTTATGGGTCTCTCTCCTAAGACTATAAACATATTTTGAGATTTTTCTCACTGATGGTTTTTGCTTACTTAGACTTCATTGTGAATACCATGGAAGTACCAAGCCCTCATTCTGTATTTACTCTCACAGGTGGTGCAGCTGAACAGGCTGGAACAATAGAAGCTGGGGATGAAATCCTTGCCATTAACGGGAAACCCCTGGTTGGGCTCGTGCACTTCGATGCCTGGAATATTATGAAGTCTGTCCCGGAGGGACCTGTGCAGTTAGTAATTAGAAAGCATAGGAATTCTTCCTGCAATAAGCATGAGTAGTGACACATTTTTTATAAGAATCTCCTTTTCTCTGTTTCCTTCGTATTTCAGCAAGTCAGAAGGACGTCTTGAAACAGCAGAGAAACACTGGTGTAGGCAAGGACTATAAAAATCTCTACATTTTTACTAACAGATGATGCCCGACTCTGGAAGCCTTCCCTGGATCACCTAGGCCAGGAGGGTTCGTTCTGTTCCGGTACCTGTCCCTGACCTTTCGCTGTTACTAATGGGGATATAAGACATGGCAGGGTGCCTTCTTTCATTTCAAACATCCTTCGCTTCTCTTGGCCACCTCTCCCAACATCCCAATCGGGGCAACTGGGAAGCCTACACAGGCTGAGGGGCAACACAAATGTCATGACTAAATGGACTCTAGTTTTTTATAATTTTGTAAGTAAATACCAATGCTTTAAGCACATTCAATGGACAGAACTGTAGGTCTGTATGTTACCCTGAAAAGAAAATGAGACTTTAATAAAATATAATAATCAATTTATGACCTAATGGTTAGGCTGAGCTCAGGAATTATCCAAAAATGGAAAAACAAAATACAGAAAGTGGTATATTTTAGTGAGTATAAAGTGCAATATATGGCTGCAGAGTTCAACTCAGTGAGTTACTGATCACAGTGAAGTGTTGGTCATGGCCTAAAAGTGTCGATCGTAAGGCTGTTTTGCAGAAATGCAGTTCTGATAAACTGTACTAAATAGCCATGAGCTTGCTGCTTACAATGAGCAGAAAGTTCCAGCTTGGAAAGCACCTTGTATCTAGTTTGGAACTTGTCTTGAGTAAGTGCTTGAATTCTTGACTGGTCAACACAAACGCAGGCAAAAATATCAGTCACTGGGTTTCCATTTCTATATTTTATGTACTCTTAACAGTAATTTAAATTTTTAGAAATCAAATATCTTTTTAGTATCCTTGGGTTTATAAACATAGGCATTATATTTACCATCCAAATAGAGAGGATCGTTAAACGCCCAGCCTGTTTTGTCTTCTGGACAAAAAGTATAGTGTGACTGACTGGGCGCTTAAGGTGTTAAAATGATCCACTTAGGGAACTGTTTGTTGTCCCCCCCGCCCCCTTTCCCAACAAGCTTATAAAATGTATCGTTTCTAAGCATTGGATCACTTTTTCTGACCTGGATATTATGACATATCTCTGCAGTGACTGAAGTTTTTGCTTCTGTTTTGCAAATTATTCCTTTTGTCAAAACTGTTTCCCTGTAACTCACGCTGCTTGTGAAACTTGTCCCAGCTGCTCTCCTTTTGAAGCATGAACTTTGTAGGTGCTGTTCCTTGCTACAAAATTGGCTTTTCTCCCCTCATACTTCAAACCGTCGTCAGCTTCCTTTACCAAAATGGAGGAAAATGGAGGAAAGTGAGTCACTTTCAAGGTAAAGGAGCAGTACTACTATGTAGTTACAACCCAGATCCTGGGGGGGGTGGGGGTGGTCCCCGCACACAATAACTGACTGAGTCCAGGGAATACAGGTGAGACTGTGTACCTGTACGCATGATGACGCTAAAGTTTTATGTTGGAGCTTCTTTCAAAAACTATAGCTTGAGTCTATGGCTTAGAGAGAACAACACAAGTCATCATACCCCCGGATCATGGAAGCACTTGAGCTGTCACTTTGTGCATCATTTTTCTGGGTGATTAATCCCAGTAAACCTCTATGGAGTTGCCCAGAGAGGCCTCTCAGATGGGAGTGAAATATGATTGGTTTGAGCCCAGATTTCTCATCTTTTAACAGGTTCTACAAAAGAAAACATAGTACAGGAATGAGCTAGAAAGATCTGATTAATTTAGCTTCTACTTTCACTACAATTCCAGGTAAGATACTATAGAAAGTCAGTACAAGGTGCATGCTAGATTGTTTTTAAGTCTCTGGAGTCAGTTTTGTGGTTTCTGTTTTCTTGACATGCAACTATTTGAAATCAACACTGAAAACTATTTTTTGCCTCTACTCTTCCAGCTGTGCCTCCTAAGAAACAGTCCTTTGTGAATAGACAGGAATTTCTAGATCAATGGGGCTGGTCTCCTCCTGGGAGTCCCTGATCCTCACTCAAATCTGAGGAGTGCAAGGGTAGACCTCTGGCTCATTAAAATATGTTCAAGTCATCAGCCATTTCTAGTAGATCTTGCCAGAATGGTTCCCTGGCTAACAGTTGGAACATAAGGGAGGAAGCAAAACTGTTTTTAACCCTAAGATAGAGAGCTATTTATCTTCAGTGTTCAGGCATGACTAGTATTTCTAATTAGTCTAATAAATTCCCATACTTCCTGAAGTGAACACTAATGGTATTATCCTACTAAAACTTTGTTTTGGTTTTTTAACTGGTCATTCACAATAAGCTATGAGGCTAAATATGTGTTATAACATGTAAATTGTAGTTGCAAGCATAGACCGTGAAGGTTGAGTTTCACTTATGTTCTACCAGACACATCTCATTTGATTTTATGGTTGACTTAATTGGCACCACACCTGTTGTATGATATACATAATCCTTATTTATGTAAAATAAAATGCCTTATATTATTAAAGAGTTAAGTGCAATAATATGAAATAGCTTGTACATTTTTAAATGTCGCCAAGTTATGTAAACCCACATCTCTGTAAACAACTTTTTTTAAGTGATTTTAAAAAAATAAACACTCTGCTTATTACTTGTTTTTCTAGTTCTGCAACTACAGAATAACCTTTTAAATTATCAAGATAGTAAATGTTTATTGTTACCTAAGTGGGTGAAAGGTACAAAGGCAACAGAACTCAAGTCAACTACTATTTCCCACAACCACACTCAGAATCTCACACAATCCAAATTGTTCACAACCTCCTGACCTTCCAGATTGCACTACCCTTCTTCCCACTACTGCCTCTTGTCTTCAATTTCAACAAGCCCGCCCTTCATTCCCATATCTACTCAGACCAGACCCCATGGTGAGCACAACAATCCCCATCCAGCCCACAGGCTCAGCTCCTTCACCCCAACTAAATCCTGGATCCTTCCAACGAGCCCACTTCTTGGTTCTTACACACCGATTCTTAGAGAAAATACCACAATCGCTCCAAATGATGCTGCTATAAATTCATGGTTTCCAACCTCAACTGGGCTCTTAAAGTTTCCTTGTCAGTTTTTTCTTTCATTCTTCACAACGACCACGTTCTTTTTCTATAAACCCTGACCCATTATTATTCCCATTAAAGTCAGGAATACATTCAGAAAAGATGTTCACTAAGTTAAACAACAATGTTCTGGAAGTACAAGCCAATACAATTAGACAAACATTTTTAAAAGGGGTACATGATATAGTGAGGTACATGTAAACTCAAACACATCAATGTAAAAATGATTAAAATATTACAATTTAGTAAGGTGGCGATCAAAAAGTACTCACCAAAACAAGAGCTTACCTAAATAACCAACAGAACATATGGGAAAAAACACCTAATTCCAACAGCAATGGAAAAATTTATTTAACCGTAGTTAGCCAAGACTAGCAAACCTAAACACAAACATATTCTATGAAGACACACTAAAAAAGGTAACTCGAGCCCTAGCTGGTTTGGCTTAGCGGATAGAGCGTCAGCCTATGGACTGAAGGGTCTTAATTCAATTTTGGAACCCCCGAGGGGACAAATTTTTGTGCACCGGGCCTCTAGTGTGTGTGTGTGTGTGTGTGTGTGTGTGTGTGTGTGTGTGTGTGTATATATATATATATATATATATTTAAAAAAGGTAACTCAAACAAATGGAAAATACAGCTTATTCGTGAACAGAATAACTCAATGCTATAAAGATTTCAGTTCTCCCAAGACTAATCTATAAATATAATGTAACTCCAACCATAATCTCAAAAGACTTTTTTAACCTGACAAAATTATTCTAAATTCCATTGGGTAGGATAAACCTGTGAAAATAGCCAGAAGAATTTTGAAAGTATTATAGGAGGGAGACAGCACTATCACAACATTATCAGAAACTATAATTAAAACAGTGCTCTTCTTCCAAACTGGACATGCAAGCCACCGGAAAAAAGAGCTAAATATATGTATAGATAGTATTTCTAAATTCAAAGAAAATTCAAAGGTAACATTCTAAATTGGTGGCAGAAAACATAAGATTATTCAATAACTGGTTTTGGATAAATTAGCTAGCTATTTGGGGGTGGCTGGGTGGAGGTGAAAGCTGGATCCTTGCAACAAAGTATATCCCTGACAACAAAATTGCAGAGTAGTCACAGGTTTAAAAGCAAAAAAGGAAAACAAGCCCTGACTGGTTTTGCTCAGTGGATACAGCATCGGCCTGCGGACTGAAGGATCCCAGGTTCGATTCCAGTCAAGGGCATGTACCTTGGTTGCGGGCACATCCCCAGTAGGGGGTGTTAAGGAGGGAGCTGATCGATGTTTCTCTCTCATCGATGTTTCTCTCTATCCCTCTCCCTTTCTCTCTGTAAAAAAATAAATAAAATATATTTTAAAAAAAGGAAAACAAATCTAAAAAGCCAAATAAATTGTTTAAATTATAAAATGAATATGATGGTCAATTCAGAAGCTATAAAACCACAGACTCATAACTTAACAAACCACTGGGCACTATCCCAGCAGATTCAGGCAAGAGAGCAGAAGAGTGATGTAGTTTTTTAATTTCACATCCCACCCATTCCCTACTCCCTACTGTTAACACCACACACATACACGGAGAGCAACTAGTACTGAAAAACCTTGGTGTAAACATCTATAACAGAACTTAGTGTGAAAGTACCCCCAAGTTCCCCAAAATATACAAGTGGGTGGGGACAAACTACCAAAAAGACAAATTTGGTATCAGGATCTGTGCAAGGCCAAGTAGAAGGAAGCAACAGGGCATCTAGAGCCCTGAGACACCCTGACTCCCCGCCCCATAATCAACAGGAATTCAGAGGAGCAACTGGGCAGCAGCTGAAACTAGAATTTTTCAAAACCTAGTGAAAAAATGTGGGCAAGTGGGTGAGGTCCCTGAAGAAGGTAGTGAGGGCTGGTGCAGGTTATGCACACTCAAAATCAACCTGCCAGTTCCTCAGACTGAGGAGAAACTACAGGAACAGAATCCAAATTGAGCAGAACAAGAACAAGAGAGGTCCAGACAAACAAGGCCCAGATAAAGGAGGGCAGAACCAGATCTCAGAAAGTAAACTGACATATTTCTTTACACTTGACAGAAAAGAGGGGTCAGAGAATAGTTAGAAAAGCTACCCTGACCCACTTGTCCTTTCTAACAGAACAGGAAAGGCAATTTCATGTAAAAATGGGCAATAGAAGATAATCTAGGTCAAATCCCACACAAAGAAAAAAGAGAACAAGGAACAAATACACCCCTATGACAACAAAAGCATCACAGAGACATGCTGGGAGACCAAAGAAAACTATAACAATACCTCAAAATGAATTAAATACATTAAGAAAACGACAGAAAAATATAAATAAATAAAAAATTAGAAAATATTTTAAAATGGGCATTAAAATTCAAGGGAAAAAATTTCAGAAAATACTAAATTAAAAAGATTATTCACAGTGAATAAATACAATAATTTCTTAAGATAAAAAGGGTGAAATGGCCCTAACCGGTTTGGCTCAGTGGATAGAGCATCGGCCTGCGGACTGAGGGGTCCCAGGTTCGATTCCAGTCAAGGGCATCATTGTGGCGGGCACATCCCCAGTAGGGGGTGTGCAGGAGGCAGCTGACTGATGTTTCTCTCTCATTGGTGTTTCGAACTCTATCCCTCTCCCTTTCTCTCTGTAAAAGATCAATAAAATATGTTTTTCTAAAGGGTGAAATGTTTAAAGATCAGTAATAAAGAAAGAAAAGAAAAGAACCCAAGCAAAACGGACAAATAACGAAGATATATAATAGCAGTCCCCAAAGAAGAACACTTAAACAAGGGTACAGAACAAACACTTAGAGGAGCTCCAGTTGCGCAATCAATTAGCGCGCAGTACTTATAAGAACAAACACTTAGAGCTTCAATTTTCCTGAAATTGAGAATAAAAAAAGACTTGACATTGACACTACATACTGAAAGAACACACACACCATGTCCTATTCCAGAACAACCCATAACAACACACTGTAGTAGCACTGGGGGAAAATTGGAGGAGAAATCCTGTGGGCTTCAAGCAAAAATAGGCATTCATGAGAGAAAGAAAATCGTATTTGAATCAGACTCTGACAGTATGCCTTATGCCAAAAAAAAGAAAAAGACTGTGACCCAAGAAATTTATCCAGACAAACTGCCTTTCAAATAAAAGGCTTCAGATACACTGTTATACAGAAATGCAAGGTTTGCTCACAAGCCCTTTCTGAAGAAACTAACAAATGAGCAAGACAACCAAAATGACTGGATAGACAATAATATGAGGAATGATGGTGAGCATTGAGTATGTGTTTACTTGAAGAGTTAAGATTAAGGTAAATTAAAAGGAGAGGCTATGTTGTATAAACAGTGTTCTTATAATGCAGGTGCAACACAATTACAAAAAGTGGCAGCACTGAATCATACACTAAAAAGTGGTTGAAATGTTAAGTTTTATGTTATGTATATTGTACCACAATAAAAAAGGGGGAGAAGCCCTAGCCAGTTTGGCTCAGTGGATAGAGCATAGGCCTGTGGACTGAAGGGTCCCAGGTTCAATTCGGGTCAAGGGCACATACCTCGGTTGCAACCAATTGATGTGTGTCTCTCACATCTATGTTTTCCTCTCTCTAAAAAAACAATGGATGCCTGATTGGTGTGGCTTAGTGGTTGAGCATTGACCTATAATCCAGGAGGGTCAGTTTAATTCCCAATCAGGGCACATGCCCAGGTTGCAGGCTCGATCCCTAGTGGGGCGTGTAGGAGGCAGCCAATTGATGATTCTCTCTCATCATTGATGTTTCTATCTCTCCCTTCCTCTCTGAAGTCAATAAAATATATATTAAAAGAGGGTGGGGGGAGTACCTTTTAAGTTTACATTGATACTTTCTATTCAAATTTAGAACTACAAGGTTTTCCATCTTCTATCTTAAAGATGTATCTTCATTTTTCCATATAAAGAATCCTGGTTCTCATGAAGAAAACTGATGATGATAAAACACAATGTTTATTTCCATAAAATCATAATACTTAAAAAACCAAATCAGTAACCTCTGGAGAATGCTGAGAAACCAACTTGATTTTGAAAACTGGTAAATAAAATTTATAATGTATCCTGCCGAAACCGGTTTGGCTCAATGGATAGAGCATCGGCCTGCGGACTGAAAGGTCCCAGGTTCGATTCCGGTCAAGGGCATGTACCTGGGTTGCGGGCACGTCCCCACTAGGGGATGTGCAGGAGGCAGCTGGTCAATGTTTCTCTCTCATCGATGTTTCTCTCTCATCGATGTTTCTATCTCTCTCCCTTCCTCTCTGTGGAAAATCAATAAAATATATTTAAAAAAAAATTTATAATGTATCCTACCTTTACTCTACAAACTACTAAAAGGTAATAAAGATAAGGTGAGGTTTCTCTTTATAGAAAAACTCTCATGAAGAAATGACAGGAATTAAAACATTACCAGTCAACAACCCCATTAAACAGGATCTAGTAAGAACTGAACAGCAAGAATGCTAACATCATAAAAGTAGAGAAATTATATAAAGTAGAGATG